GAACAGCTGCCACGTACAGTACTGAGTTCTTAGGAGGAAATCCCGGTAGTACCTGGGTTATAGTATGTGATGATTTTCTGTTGTTCAGTTACCAGCCTTTGCAGCTGCTCCATCTGTTCCATCATCACAATTTCCTGCTGCCCTGGGCTCTGTAAATAGCACCAACAAAATGAATTAAAATATGCTCATCTCTCCCTTTTAACAGGAAGGAATCTTTCTTTTCGGAGTCTAGTTTTGAGGTGTTTGGTTTTTTTAAAAGGTGATTCCATTGTTTTATTCCAATAAAAAGAGAGTGTATTTGTATTTAAATATTTTTTTGCAGATATAATGCTCAAAGAAAACAGCAGTGTGATAGGTTAGAGCCTTGCAGCGGGATTGGGAGCCCATGGGTCCTGCAGGACCCGCTGGCATAATTCTGGGAGCAGATAAACTGTACTTTATTGAGGGAGGGATTGGGTGGGCAAAAAAAAAGCAACAACCAAAAAAAAAACCAGACCGCAGTAATTTGTGGCTAAACACTAGATCTCTCATCAGTTTGTCATAAATAGAATTTCAGCAATGAAAAGCAAGTTTTTCTTTTTTTAAATAAAGGTTTTAATACTTAAATTTAAATGAGGGATAGAAAGAGATTTCATGTCCATTATAACAGGAGTTGAAGTATTTTTACATGGTTTAAGCAAGATTTTTTTTATTCTTTGAATGGTAAAAATTGTGTCTGAATTCCGCATATATATATCCACATATATATATCTGCATATAAAAAAATCAAAAAATGGTCAGTTTATATATACATGTATACATATATATAAACTGACCATTTTTAATTTTTTTTAGTGACGCGGGGGAATTTGTCTTTCTTGCGGGATTTGTGGGATCTAAGGGTTTTGCGAGTGGGAGTGGGATAAAAATGCAAGCAACTATGTGGGACCTGGTGGGAGTTGGTATTGCAGGGCAGGATGGGAGCCAAGATTTTAAAAATAGTCCTGCACACGGCTCTGTGCTAGGGTATCAGAATCAGGAAGTGAAACTGACCATTTTTTCACTGTCCAACTTGAGTGAAATTCTAAATGTAAATTAACCACATAAATGATGAAAAGTAGAGTTTTTAAATTCTTTCACTTGCAATAGTCTATGATACTGTTAGTAAAAAAATTAAACACAATTTTAATCTTGACAGTATTTCCCAAGCTTTGATGTCTTATTGCAGTTTTTACAATCAAATCACACATAGTTAAAAACATATTCAAGAGTGAATTATTTCATAGTGTTATTCAGTATTATTGCTGGTAGAAAAATACACACGTTTAAAAAACAATGAAATTTTTCCAGAACAGTTTTCTTTGAAAATTTAGACCACTCTATAAGCCAGTCAAAAAGCAGTAAAACATTTCTGCAAAACAATTTCCTTGAAATTTCAAGTGTTTTAAACATTTCAACCAGCTCTATTAGAATAAGCTATATCAGTAGAGTGAAACACGTTTGCTGGCAGATTTCTGAGCTATATCAATAATTCATGACCTGATTTGCAGAGGTACTGAGCACATACAACTCTCACAAAAGCCATTGGGATTTGTAGGTGTCTCCGTAAAGCTGGATTCTATTCTCAGCTCTGCCGCTGACCTGCTGAGTGACATTGGCCAAGTCACTTCACTTCTCTGTCCCATTTGCCCTTCTATTTAGACTCTGAGCTGGTCAGGGCAGAGACTGTCTCTTACTACATATATGCATAATGCTTAGCACAATAAGGCTGTGATTCACTTAGGGCATCTAAGTGCCATAGTAAGATAGATAGATAGCCATGTTCCACTCTTTCCACATGCTGAAAATGCCTTACCTGCTTGGCACTCTGTGAATTTGGGCTGGGTGGGGGTCATAGAAGAAGAGAGAGAACAGGTAGAAAGGAGAGATTTAAGAGTGCCCCTAAAATTTCAGGACTTTCAGCACTCTACAGCTGTTAGTGTCACAGTCATAGGCACTTCAAGCATTAAACTATTACGGAATAGAACAGGTCAGGCGCTATCCTTCTATCCCCAACACAACTCCCTACCTCCATAGAACTCCTGGTCCAGAGAAACAGAGACCCAAATCTGCCCCAAATTAAAATGCTGTTACTAAACTGCCCACTGCTCCTTCTAGTCAGTCTCTCCTTCTTTCTCTCTCCTTCACTCGTGCACTCCCCATTCACCTTGTTTGTCTCCTTCCAATCTCTCCCCTTCTGCTTTTTGGCTGTTCCCCTCACTGCCCTGCTTCCTCTGTCCTCTCTGTTGAACAAAACCTCCAGCCCCTAGCAGTGCAGGAATGAGTTAAGCCTTGCGGAGTGGAGAGGGAATAGCTCATAACCTAGCAGAGAAAAAGCAATATTCTAGTCTTTGTGGCACCTTAGAGACTAACAAATTTATTTGGGCATAAGCTTTCGTGGGTTCTAGCCCACGAAAGCTTACGCCCAAATGAATCT